ATCGAGGGAAAAATACAGCGTCTTGGAAAAAAACGCAACTCTGGGAATGCCACTTCCCTAGGTAACCGGGCCAGAAGTCCATTATGTTAATACGTTAAATATTTGAGGTTATACGTCCCTGTGGCATAGTGAATCAAATGTACTGAAAATTTCACCGAATTCCCTGAAATCCCACCATATTCTTCGAAATCTTGCCGAAATCTTAGGATTTCCGTATTCCATGTAGGTACATTTCAGCCGAAGTGATTAGCCCCCTGTGTAGAACGGGTGTGCACCCCGCGCCCCCGGTCTTTTCAAAAGGTTTACTTGACACCACTAAAGGCATGTCTGTGCAAAATCTGAGATCAATTGGTTGTTGCATGTAAAAGTTATGCACGTTTTACTATCAAAAACAGTACTTCCGGAAAAAATCATGAGGGGTGGGGAGCCCTTAAGACAACAAAATACCCGCAAGGTGTGGGCTACCTATCCCAAAAAATTCCAGGACAATTTCCTTAAAAGTAGTTCAAAACCGCAGAAGTGGGTCCGGACAGACAGACGGACAAAACGCCAGCAATAGCACATTTTTTTAATTCTTAAAAAATGCGCTAAAAATTTAAAATAATTTAGGTACACTAATTTATTGACGAGGGTAATACTCTCTTCTGATAATAATTAGTTTTATCTCTCCTTGGACCGCTTTCTTTTAGAAATATGGAAACAGGTCGCTTTGATGCAGGGGAAATTTGCCCCGTCCAAGGGCCACGATTTTAGTGCTCTTAGAACACGGCCCAAGTTTGAATAATTGTCGTGTGATTGTTCTCATGAATAGGCACCTCCTTCGGTTGAGGAGGCTGTTAAAACTACAGTGTTGTCACGTGTCGCTGCTATTATAATAGAACTTTATACATAATGAAGTTACTTACTTTTATGGACGTACGGTAAAGTACAAAGTAGTGATATATGCGAAATGTACGTACATGAGCCGTAAGTGTACGCCAAATGTACGTCCGTAAATCCAGCGCTGTACGTAGTATGTATTGGCAATGTACGTAATTGTATTTTTTCAGAAGTAGCCAAGCGGTTCAGTCAATTTTCTATTAAACAACCTAATATACCTAATAACCATGCACGGGCGGATATTCCTTTGCGTTTACATTACGATTACAGTGAAGTTCTTTTGCAATTTCTCCATTACGTTGTAAAATTACTAGTTTTCAAATTAGATTGCGGTGAAATGGTTACCAGCCGCCACTAAAGTAAAGAAAGCCAGTCTTAGTACCTGAAGGAACAAAACGCGTGCACATGTCAAGATCACGTGCAAAATTACCAGTTGACCTACATTACCGGCGTACCATGTATGTACGTACTTTGTACGTTATTGACTTATCAGTGCCGGATTTAGTTCATGGACCGCCGGGGGCTAAGTCCTACTATGCCGCCAGTAGGTAGGGAAAAAAGCCAAATCTTTGTTTTGTCGTTTCCAAATTGCATCACCTTCTTTTCCGCTCATTTTTTAGAAACTTCACAAAAACACTCCACTAATAAATGAGTACAATTTTCTGCGCTAACGCGTAATGACGTAACGGAACTGACGACACGGCGTGTCAGAGTCGGACACGCTGGCGGCTGGCGCTGAGACAAAACAATACTCAAATTTAAATAAACCCCTAAAGACCATCTAAAAAAGCGGCATAGCATCTCGGTGTGACCCTACGCGGTCATTGGATTTGACCCATTTTCAATAGGCTTGTTATATGTGGCATGCAGGTCAAATATACAAAGTTTGAACCGACTCGGTCCATTCGTTTGGCAGTTATCGTGTTCACGGACGGGCAGACGGGCACCCTCGACTCTCCTATAAAGCTTACATCGCTTTGCTCTGCCGCTTAATAATCGTTTGTAATAAGGGTTTAACAAGTAAATGTGCCCGACAATATAGTCAATGGAAAATAGAGGTAGATAACGGATGATGAGGTAATAAACCGCCCCTTTGTCGTTTGGCAGCAAAGTGTAATTTCCCGAAAACATGAAACGTGTTTTTGCTAGGGTTTTTGTGCGATCAAGCGACCTGCTACCGCCGGCAGCCCGACCTGTGTGCACTTGGCCCCCCAACTTTAGAAAGCAATAATTTTCGTGATTGAAATCGATTGCGCTTCGTTTGCTCACAATTGCATTTTGTTTACGCGCTGCCCGTTTCAAAATTACGAAGGAATCAAATTTGGGGGGGGCCAACTTCACAACTGCCCCACAAGTTTACAAATTTGATATTTTTTTCTTGTGATCGTTTGTGCTTCGTTTGCGCATGTTTGCGCTACCAATACCTTCGTTTGCGCCCCCGTCGTTTTTGAGTTATTCCAAATACAAAATTCCATGCTGGCCCCCCATTTTTCAAATTTGCCATTTTTTTCCATTTGATCGTTCGCGCTTCGTTTGCGCACGTTTGCGCACAATTGCATTTTGTTTGCGCGCTGTCGGTTTCAAATTCGGGGGGGCCAATCTCACGACTGCCCCCCAGGTTTACAAATTTCACTTTTTTTTCTTGTGATCGTTTGCGCATTTTTGCGCTACCAATACCAATACAATTAAGGCCTCGGACAGACGGACGGACAGAGAAAGTGACTGCAATAGCGCACCCAACTTCGTTGGAAAATGCGCTAAAAATGTCAAATTTGTAAAGATGTGGGGCAGTCGTGAAGTTGTCCCCCCCCAAATTTGATTCCTTCGTAATTTTGAAACCGGCAGCGCGCAAACAAAGTTCAATTGTGCGCAAACGTGTACAAACGAAACGTAAACGATCAAAAGGAAAAAACTGCCAAATTTGAAAAATGGGGGGCCAGTATGGAATTTTGTATTTGGAATAACTAAAAAACGACGGGGGCGCGAACGACAAACGAAGCGCAAACGATCACAAGAAAAAAAAGTGAAATTTGTAAACTTGGGGGGCAGTCGTGAAGTTGGCCCCCCGAATTTGATTCCATCGTAATTTTGAAACCGACAGCGCGCAAACAAAATGCAATTGTGCGCAAACGAAGCGCGAACGATCAAATGGAAAAAAAATGGCAAATTTGAAAAATGGGGGGCCAGTATGGAATTTTGTATTTGGAATAACTCAAAAACGACGGGGGCGCAAACGAAGGTATTGGTAGCGCAAACGAAGCGCAAACGATCAGAAGAAAAAAAATGTCAAATTTGTAAACTTGGGGGGCAGTTGTGAAGTTGGTCCCCCCAAATTTGACTCCTTCGTAATTTTGAAACCGGCAGCGCGCAAACAAAATGCAATTGTGCGCAAACGAAGCGCAATCGATTTCAATCACGAAAATTATTGCTTTCTAAATAAAAGTTGGGGGGCCAAGTTCACACAGGTGGCAGCCCGAGCCCGGTACTGATCTTATAGGTGAAGAAACGAAGTTTTATTACCATGCTATTTCTCAAACTGAACCCCATAAATTAAATATCTACATTTAAAATTAAAACGTGACGGGTGCGACGACGTACCACCTCTCAAAATTTACCGCCGGGGGCTAATGCTAATAGTCCCATAGCCCCCCCCCCCCCTAAATCCGGCACTGAGACTTATAGTTTGTGATCGTACACAAATGTACGTACATCAAACGTACATATTTGTTCCATGGACGTACGTACGTAAAATGAAACAAAAATGTGCATACAGTGGACAATGCATGATATATGTGGTATTGCTTCAGAGTCATGATCTCTTACAAAATATAGTAAGTATAAAAAATGCAGATCCGTATTTTAAAAAAAATCGAAACTTCGGATTAAAATCTAATCATGACAGCTTGCAAAGGAGAGCGTTATTAATGCTAATGTGTCATTTGGTTTGTTTGTTTGCAAAAAAAAAATTAATTAACAATGTTTCGTTTTTTTCGAATCCGATGTGTGGTATTGGGAATTTCTTCACTTTCCATATACCATTAGGTTCGGCCCAACTTTGCCTCTTTTACGGTTTCCGAAGCCTCAGTGGTAACCCCCAAATTTGAGACACACGGTACCATTACCTACTTGTTTGAAGTCGTTATCTATCAATCTCAATCTAAGCACCGCCGGAAAGGTCATACGTTTTCACACATTTTTGTGCGAAATTCCGATTTGCATTCAGATATTCCCCAGTTTTTTTCAACTACTTCCGTGTGAAACGAGCTTTACGAAATGAGATGGAATAATTTAACAAAGTTTCGTCGCGGATTTTTGCAACGGCAGGATCTCGTCTAAATTATTTTTAAGCTCGACAAACCGGCCGATACAAATTTTTATCATTACACGTATATACACTACCTATAAAAGAAAAATTCTCAATTCTCATTAAAATACTAATGGCTTACGCTGTCTCGTTTTAAATGCGGAGTGAATAGGTTTTCTATGCTTAATTCAATAATTTTTTTACGGTCGCTGTTAACTACGCGATTATACGGTTTTTGTTGCATTACTTTTTTATAATGTGAAGAATGTCGAAGGCTTCTTTGTTTTCGGAATTCCTTTCATTTCTAAAACGTCGCTTGTAAACGGCCCGAAAAAGTATTCCGAAAAGTCATTAATATTTGTTCATGAAATGTAACTGTGTTATATGTATGTGAACGTATTTTATTTTACGTCGTGTGTGGGTTTTCTAAATTTATTTCACGTCGGAGCTTTTCGATCAAACTTTAGAAGATGAGGTAACTAGCCCAAAATGCAATTTCTTCCGACTTTAAAGCTGAAATTGTTCCGATAACAATGCATCGCATGTAAGAAAATTGCATGTCGCCGGCGCAATAAATTATTTATGAAGTGTACCGAATTATGGCAAAGTTGCCGAAGAAAAATTGTTTTATTTGCATAAAGGAGGCGTCGGAATATGAGCATTATTAATCTGCAGATTTTCTAATTAGATATTTAAGACTCGTCACACTGTCTTTATCTTTCCAAAAAGACGAATAGAGAGCGACAATTTGAAATTCTTTGTAATAACGCATGCGTTTCAGGAAAATTCAGCGCATGTAATTGACAGTGCCATACGCGCGGTCCTACGAATCATACGCGATTTTCTCCGATTTTCACGATTAGTTGTGTTTCGTAAAGGAAAATGGGGCGAACTTCACGCGTTCACGGGGGTGAATTTTAATTTCTCGAAGTGGTTCCATTTGACATAATGACCAATGTAAGTCAGTTTCTTTCATGTTTTTTTAGTGTAGCTGTCTGTCACCGGGAACACATTTGGTAATTAATAACATTAAGATTGATGAGATTGGGCACGAAGAACGAATCGCTCTGTTAAATCCCACTTTAATGAAACTAAAACGGTGTTTAAGCAAAAGCGTTAATCGTGTTTTTTCTAACAATCCAATCCCATTCGATGTCTTCTAACGACCGGATGCAGAGGGGTTATTTTTGTCCCTCCAGATTATAATTAGTTCGAATTTTTGTTGATTTTACAGCTCGATTATCGCGTAGAAAATCTATGCAATTTGGCGGATTTATCATAAGCCAATTTGTACACATCGAAATCCGCGCGCCTTTTCGATCTAAATTTCATTTTGTACAAAATCGATTGTTTCATCAGAGTCGAATTTATGAGAGTTTCGTCCATTGCTCATTTATTATTCTTGTTAACAGCATCTATCATCGCGAGTGTAAACTTTTCTACCGCTAGTCTTAATAGCGCATTTTCTAGTCTAAAGCCGTTGAAAAATTAGGATTTGTGTTTTCTACCCTAACGTCGCGTATAAATCATGAAAATAGGAGGGGAAGCTCATTTGTGTGTGTAATCCTTGTTTATGTTTCGAAGCAATTGTTCATATGAGCAAGTCGACATTAGTTGATTAGCTGTAATCTAGACAATAGAGGACTAATTCCAAGTAATTTGCATTTTTGAAATTAAGGAATGAGGGAACGATAATTTATTTCATGCGGTATTCAATTAATAAGAGATTATTGTGAAATGTACATATACACAGAGAAGTAAGTATTGAAATGAAATGGAGGTTTGATACAGCTTGATATAATCCAGTAATTCCTAATTTTCGAGCTAATTTTGATTTAAATGAACCACAAAAATGGTAAAATAATATTATCTCACATATTCTTTAAAACCTAACATATCATTTTTTTTTTATTAAAAACATCAACAACAAAACATACATGGTATATTCGGTTTAAGTCATACGTACTATTGAATATATGATGGAACGTACCTATACTTAAATCAAATGTTCATTTTTCTCAGTTAAAAAGGCATGTTGTATTCACTTCATCTTAAAAGTGGTATTATTTCAATTAAATTATGATTAAACTCAATTAAGGATAACCTTTAAAGAAGGGTGATAAAATGATATACTTCCAGATGATAAAAGGAAGGTTTGACTTTTGTTGCTTTCGTTTATTCGATAGATAAAATTGACGTAAAATATGACTTATTACAAAAAAACAGTTGCCAATTTTGTGACAGGGTAGCTTCCTATCACAAACCATCGACATATAATAAATGGACTGCGATTATCAATCATAAGCGCGGATACTGTAGACGAGAGAGAAAGGAAAACTAAGAGGGCAAGCTAGCTCTTCCGGTTACGCATCTGATTAGTTCTTTCAAATTAATTTGAATGCGATCGCTTCTGTTGAAAGAACCGATCATATGCGTAACCGAAAGAAACAGCTTGCCCTCTTAGTTTTCGCTTCTCTCTCACCTGCAGTGTCCGTGCTTAGCATTGACACGCACAGTCCATTTATTATGTCGATGGCTCAAACCAAATATTTAAAAAAAAGGTTTTTGACAGTCATATGCTCGGTTTCACAAACGATTATTAAAGTTAATCAATGATTAAAAATATTAGAATGTTAGCCACCTTTGATTATATGTTTCCCATTCTAATAGTTTTAATCAGTGATTAACCGGAGGATTAACCTTAATCATCGTTTGTGGAACCGGGCGTTACATCCTTTATGCCTAATGTACAGGGTGTCCCATTAATAATGGTTACAGACCATATCTATGGAACCGTTAATTGCAAAGCTTAGGGGAAAAAATTTAACAAAAGGGGCCAAGAGAAATCGCTGGAAATTATTTTCAAGTTTATAACTTGGCCGCTAGAGGGCGTAAGATTCATGGTTAAGTAGAAACATTACCTTTTTCCTAAAATATACCCAACAAACTTGCATAAAAAATACAGCATAGTAATCTTGTATCATATAATAATTATATCGTTCCATTTGAAATTTTCAAAAAAACCTGCAAAGTTTATGTTAATGTCACATCGCGCCCTCTACGACTCATCACATTTACAAAAAACTCTTTATTAATGTAAAATCTGATTCCACGAAGACCACTCTTTCCAACAAGGCCTATTATGTGAAAATCGGTTAACCTAAACCGAAGTTATATTCGATTCCTTAAATAGATGTTCTCCTTCCCATACGCCTCATGTTTTATGAGCTAGAGCAATATGTGCTGCATCAAAATTATGCAAAATTGATACACGATTGCTATGCATGTATTTTTTATGCATGTTTGTTGGGAATATTTTAGAAAAAAAGTCATTTTTCTACTGAACCATGAATCGTACGCCCTCTGACGGCGATTTCTCTTGGCCCCTTAACAAAAATTTTTTTCCCGAAGCTATGCAATTAACGGTTCCGTATATATGGCATGTGACCATAAGACACCCTGTACGGGTTCGTTAACTAACTTGGTCCTCCCGCCGTGAGATTTGACAGTCACATTATTGTAAAGTTATGCGTTGACATGCGCCATCGATAATAACTCTTGCGCCATTATCGTTTTTTAGAAATCCGAAAATGCATTTGGAGGGGGCGGGGGGCAAGTATACGCAGCTCCCCCTCCCCCTATGTATTTTGTAGCTGGTATCTATGTCGCCTGGTACATCTGGTTATGCGCTCAATTGCATCACTTGAATTAAAGCTAGCGCCATCACGATTAAGCCATGACAAACTTTTAAAAAGGGGAGGAGGCTAACTTAAATTTGTGCAATGGTATGCGGGCACCGGCGGTCACTATACCACGTAACAGACACCGACCTAGCCAGCTCAAATTACACAATTTCGATTTATTTTTATTTTTAAAATTTTCTCAGGACATGACTGGGTTCCGACACAACTAGCAATTGTAACATGACTTAAAACTCTTATAAACTCGAAAGAGCCGATTCTTTTGTATTCCTAAGGAGAGTCCAACCAGGCAGCACTTAGGCACACCACGCCTACCTCCTTTCCTTCGCAACCAGGTTCAGATCCCGTTCCTTTAAATAAATATGTAAAGGATAGGACCCTGTTTAGCCTAAGTTGCTTCACCCTTCCCGGTTTCCCACTACATGCTCGGTAGTTTCGTCTACCTCGCCAGTCGCCACAGAACCTGTACGTGGGGTGCTCCACAAGTCCAATGTTATGCAGATGATAGTACACCATCCAGTGCTCCGGGAAGACAGCGGTGATTATCCGAATCCGGCTTCTATTCCGTTTTAGAAGCTTGGAAGACTCAGATTTGCTACCAGGCCGTGTTAAAAAGGTTCTAGACTGCCTGAGTTTCGCTGTGTTGCCATTGAGCCTGGAACTGGGCCTGTAATTGATTGGTTATCCATCTTTAATCCTAGTACTCCAGTCAAATTAGCTCCAAAATTAGTATACACTGGATGTTGTCACTTCACTCAACGAGACCAAGTGTGTTCTATGTAAAAAAAATCCTTTGAATCCGAAAATCATACTCTCCCTGGCCGGAAACTCCCGGAACATATTGTTATAAACAAAAAACGAAGAAAAAATAGGAACATCTCGCTTTTTTTCGCATTTCACTGCAATTATCTCGTTAACTATTGTCCAAGAGAAAAAATGAATAGAAATGAATTTGTTTAGAATCGAATTTTCCATAAGATACAGTTGGCCCGCAACAAGTTGCAAAATTACTTTATGAAATAGACCCCTGGTCAGACCCAGATGACGTCCTCGAAGAGTCAGCTATCCTTCTATTCGTAAATGGAACAACCTCGGATTTTTCCGGGTTAACGGAGAGACCATGGCTACTGCACCACCTATCCACCTGTTCATAAGCCCTCTGCGTGAACTCTTTCACGGTGTTTGGAAACTGTCCAGTTATCACGATCGCGGGATCGCCCGCGTATCCTTGTGTATACGCTCCGTCCTCGTTCAGAGTACGGAGAAGCCCGTCTAGCATCCGGCACCACACAATACTCCATTCTGTGGACATTCTGTAGTGACGGAAGAGCTCATCTCCGTAGTCCCGATTGAGATAATGACACTGCTTCCGAGCGGATCCGACCAGTACGAGAACCCTACTCCTTATGTATGCATCCACCAATTTTTCTAATTCTTTGTCTATTTGAAATAAAATTCCCCAGATCCTATGAAATAACCTGAAGCATTTTACATACAGGATACTTAAACCGAAGTTACGTTAACAACACTTTTTTTCACTACAAGGTGGCTCGCTTTCATATGCGGCATTGTTTCAACCTAGAGAAAGGACACCCCTCTGTAGTTGACTTTTTCATATCCGTATGTAGGATCAAATTGTAAATGACATTTGTACCTTACTGGATCTTCACTCCGACAGGCAACCTGTATCTTGTAGCGACATTTTAAAAACACAACGTAGTAAGTAGTAGTAGTAGTAGTAGTAGGATTTTGCTATTTAGGTTGGGTAGCTTTACCTAGACGATTACGTACCATGGGGTTTAGTTAGTTTGGGTGAGAAAGTTTTAATTTTAAATCTTGAGCGCCAGTCCCTTCGGGACTGACCTGGATTTGTCACAAAGTAAAGATGGCCGCTCTAACCTATTAGTGCCATTTTATAGGCGTATTCTGAAAATTGTAAAATAGTGGGAATTAGAAGAGTAAGTTTTTTCTGGGGAATTAAGCGGTCAGCGTGAAGATACGTTTGGTGCTCGCGAAATTATGCGATCCAAAAAAGTTTCGAAATTGTGTTTTGGACACTGGATATTCGATACAGGGTGATTTTTTTGGGAGCTTTAGTTAAATGTTTCTGGGAAAGTAAAATAGGTACGGTTTTGAAAATTTGTGTTAGGAGTTACTCTGAAGGCCGAATCGATGTAAAATATTTTTAAAATGGCCACACTTCCGGAAACACCGAAAGTAGATAGTAACTTCGTTATTTTAAATAGCAACTCCTAT